GAGGAAAATATATTCTTTCTCAAGGGCGTATTTAAGAGGGGGACGAAGGGGGCATTCGCCTCCCTCCGTGGCTAGTATTTTTTTTTTAATATAATACATTGATTTATTTGAAAAATGTAATGTATAAATACTTATGAATATATATAAATTACTAGTCTATCATTATAATATGTTATCATTATAACAGGAACATGGGCTGTAGGCAATGAACTGTAAATTACTTTTAAGTTTGTATTGAAGAAAAATTAGTTTTGCCCCTTCCCTCTCAATGGCTTCAACTCAAATACGCCCTTGTTCCATCTTGAATGATGACAATCGAATGTTTACCTGGAATAAATTAGGACAACTCCTGTTTATAATATAGACCGTCATTCGAGGTCATATTTCGATAGTAGATGTGTGCAACGTGTTTTTTGAGCGTGGCACAAAAATCCTAGCGAAAATCATTATTGGTATAATTATTCATAATTGAATAGGTAATCAATTGTCAATAATTTCAATTTAATTTTTGAGTTTTCAAGATAATCTGTAAAAATAGCGCAGCAATCGCCGGTCGACAACACCCGGCCGCTGGGAAATATTCAAACGTAGCAGGTTAGAGAAATTCTTGTTTTAATTTCAAAAAAACATTTTCGCAGTATCTTAATAATTGTTTGAGCGATAAAAAAAATAGTCTGAACGTCTGTTTAGACAAAAATAAAAACTTTTTTATAATTATTTAATTGGTTTTATGTATATACGCATTGTTTTGAGGTGGTTTTTTTTTTAAGGACCAGAAAGGAACTCGCCGTCTCTCAAATCTTCTTGGAGTTATCACCAGGGGTGTATTTAACAAACCGTCACTACTATACCAAGTATGAATTTGCCACCATTCTCTTAAGAAAATAACTTTTGTATATTAAAATGTCCTTACATAATAATATTTTTTCAATATTATGCAATTATTAATTAATTTAGGTAATGTTATATAAAAACGTTTTGAATCAAATGTTATATTTTCTCATTATTTTTAAAAATTAAAATTGAATACTCACAAGAAAAGAATAATAATATTATTAATAGTTAATTAATCATAAAAGTAATTTTAATATTAATTATTCAGTTATGAATGGAATTGTATAATAACTCGGTTTCTTTTTTTTTGGGTCTGATTAAGATCATTTTTCAAGCTTTTCCATTAAAGGTTTTTCTTTACTGAGAACCATTAAACTTTTTCCAGCTCACATTAAATATATAATAAAATAGTGTAAAATAAAAATAAGTATTATAATATATGGTGACCAAAAAACACGTAATAATTATAATTAACTCTTACCATAGGTTCCAAAACTTTGCTCCGTGGAGCTCTTAGGACACGGCAATTTTTCTGAAGGGCTTCGTTCGGTTTTCCATAAGAAATGTAATAATATAAAATGTATTGATCGTTATTTAAATCAGCTAGCATATATATTTTTACAAGATTCCATCAACTCAAATGTAATTCATCGATACGTATACAAACAATATTAAAATTCCGATAAGAAAATATAATTTTTTAATCTTAGATAATATACATTCTCATTCCACTTGTTACCTTGTCAGGTTTATTGTATATAAGTATAATATTAAATATAAATTATTTAACTTTGAGTTTCTTTCAATTGAAATACATAGGTATCATGTGTAATATGCTACATAGAACACAAGCAAATAAAACTTAATATTAAATATTTCTTGCGGCAACACGAGAAAATACAGTTCAAAAGAAGGTTCTGTGGCTGAGAAAGTTTTGGAATCGCTGCTCTAACTAGTTGGAAACAATATCAAATATAGCAAATAAAAGTGACAATTATTATTTTAAATTTTTTTATTTTACAATTACAATTTTTTTTAAACAGATATTGTTGTCATAATATTATAATCTGTGTAATAGTTATAGCAATAGTAATAATATTAATAGGGGACTTCTTGTCTTACTAATATGTAGAGCTCGGATGTTTATGACTTGGCATATTTTTTTTACGTAACCAGAATTATACCCTAATGTGACATAAATTCGATTCATGAAATCTCGATTGCAAAAATACAAACTTATTTTGCATATTTTTGCATATTTGACATTTTTGAGCATATACATGTATATATAGATTGTTTCTAGATTAAGTAGCATATATTTTATAAATTATAAGTATAATATTAAAAATTGTCCATACTATTATAAATTATTAATCATTACTGTTAATTGTGTCATTTTCAGTTTACAAAAATGTCTTGTTGGATCGTCGAAGGTCCTTCAAATTTGAAAATATTAGCAAAATTATTATTGTACAGTGTAATCCTGATAATTAAAGTACTTAATCTATGAAAAGTTTAACTTTAATAGATCGAAAATAAATTCATATTTTTTTCCATATATATTAGCTGTGTTTTTTGTAATAAAGTAATTTTAAATACCCATTTAAAAGAGTATAGACTTTTTTTGAATTATTATTAACTATTTTTTGCATATATTTGTCGAAAAAATAGATATATTTAATACATTTTATGGCATATAATTACATATTTTTATGAAATTTTGATCATTAATATCCGAGTTTTACTAATGGATATTTTTTTTTTTTAGATTTTAGAAACATAAATAAACCCGCTTCTATAAACAATGAGATAGGCAATTATAAACCATAATCGTCATCTTCATCGACGATTCCCAGAGAAAAAATTAATATTATTTTGCTATATAGGAACAAATAAAAAAAATAGAAAATTCAAACACATCTTTCATAGTTTTGAAGTTGTAAAATTATAAATAAAAGAAAAAAAATTAAGTATTTTTTATAATTATAAATCTTACACATCACTATCGAAGTGAACATCGTAGATTAATATTGTTAGTAAGTTAATAAAGTTAATAAGTGTTTGTGGTTAGTTGAATGGCTTATGAGTTAGGGAATTATCGATTCCGTTGAAAATGTTTTATACTCTATTGTATAAGATCAATAATTTAATAACTGTATAATGAATTCTGTATTTTACTCTGCTACTCTGAACTTTATTTCTTAATTCATCATAATCATGAATTAAGATATTAATGGAAATATAAAATAGTTCTACGTATATTATGATAGTGTAAAATACAGATGATAGGGAATAAACTAAATATTATTTAAAACGTACGAGTATATATTCTTATAAATGAAAGTAAAAAAATAATATCCTCGCTTTGAACTTAAAATGGAATGCATAGAGTTAGGGAGTTACGAAAAAATTGAAATAGTTTAAGTCGAAATACCGAATTTTAAGAAAATAAATGTCATGGAATATTGAATTAAATTTTGAATCTAAAAAGAAAATGTAAAGTAAAGTCTTTCTTAACTGGTAAAAACGCATGAGTATTATTATTATGATTAAAATTAATATTAATCACTCATTCACAGCTCTTACACAATTACAGTAATAATATATTATACAGAATGTTCCTGAATAATATTAGGAATACCGATAATTGATTCCAAGCAACAAGCATTGTTTATGTGTTTAGATATACGACATCGTCGTGTGAACGTAAGATTATCGTAAAATACATGGTACATTGAATGTTTTCTTATCTAGCAGTCAAAAGTCAACTAGAATACGTCTTATCAGTCGTTGTGAATAGCTAATACGAAGCGTGTAACACTCAAGTGTTTTTGAATACAATTATACCGTCCAAACGCATTTATTCGTGAGGAATACACACAAATCATATGCTGCAAATAAAATGTGAGAAAATATTAACTCCTCTTCCTTCTTATTCTATTCGTTCAGTTATATTATTTATGAACGTAAGTACTTAAAAACAAAAATCACATATCAAACGAATGTGAAACGATGTGGAATCAATTCCATGAAACATAATAAAAAATAGACTTTCGTTCGTCCCAAACACGGTATTTTTATACGACGTAAAGTGATCTTTATGATTTCATTCTCGATGTCCGTGACAACGCAATACCGTGAAAACATTTTTATCCACGCGAGTTTCCGCACTACAACTGAGGTGGTCTTTTACCAATAATAACTGATACATGATTAATTCGTAAGCAAATAATCGAATTCGGCTCGCAGATTGTGTACAAAACAATTATTGCGATTATAGTCATCGATTGCCGTCGAGATAACTCGTTTTTTCCCAACTACACCCTTTCCGTTATAATACAACCGAAAGGGTGTAGTAGGGATATTATTATTATATTATATAACATTATATTATAATATATATATTATATTATATGGTATAACCGTTATACCATAATATTATAGTTTATTTATAGATTTTTAATTATTTGATATATTTTTTTTTTTATTCTCGTGTATGCGTGTAACGAACGACTGAGAATTTCGTGGAGGGCAAGAACATTTTACCCACGTTGCGGGCGCCAAAGTTTATCATAACTCGCTATCTAGTCCGTCGCTTATTGGAACGGACTTGAATGTTTTAAAAACTATATAGTTTACAGCAGATTTATTTTTTTTTTAAAAAAAAGGTTGATTTCCTTTGCCGTCGAATAAGATAACGACAGATTTTCTAAGTCTGCGATTTTCGTAAAACCTACGTACAAAATATTTGGAACAACGTATAATGAACGTTTTATTTAAATGGTTATTTGGTAAAATCGTATAAGACTACATATATAAATTTTTGTACAATATTTCAAGGTTTTCCAGGTCCGTGTATCTATGGGTAGCAGATTGGATGGTTAACAAAATAGTAAAACGAATCGCGACGGATCCGCGTCACTCGGTTAAATAGGTCATCGGTTGCAAGGACGACGGCGAATCGAAGCGGTAAAAAACGTTTACGATTACTAGTGGTCCCTTCGTTCGCGCGCGCACGCAACGGACGCGTGAAATTACAACGGTGAAACACACGATCATGGCGCGAGTGGCCGACGCGACCGGATAGATTCGCGCGCATCGTTTCATGACCACGTCACCACCACCTGCGAACGTATTCGTTGGGTGCCGATTCGAACGTTTCGGTCGGCCCTATCTAACGGAGCACCGGTTGACGGTACCGAGCGATAACCGATGATGCAGAACGCGGTCGTGTTATCGCCGCGTGATGTTCGTCACCGGTAGAAGAATTGCGGCAGTCGTCATTTCGTCCCGGTGCCCGTCGCACGCAACCGCCGCCGCAGCCCTAGAACGTTACCGGTTCGCCAGCCGCAGCATGAGCAACAACGACGTGTCGCACGTTTACACGGCAGCGGCCCCCGCGCCCGTCGGTGCTTACAGGTAAAAATGCATTCGTTCGAGCCAAGTCATACGAACACGGGTCGAAGAAACGATTGACAGGAGCGGAACTATGGGGTGGAAGATGGGGATTCATCCCCGGGTGTAAGATTTTAGAGGGTGTAATTTTTGCAATTATTAACAACTAATTTGATATTTTTATTTTAGTTAAATATTGTTATTAGGTTAAAACTCAATAAGTATGATTGTATATTAATTATTAGAAAAAAAATTCTCGAGAAGAGTCTTTGATTATTGGTCTATGATAGGGCGTAATTTTAACATTTTCCCCGGGGCGTAAAAATTCCTAGTTCCATCTCTGATGATTGATAATCGCGCGTTTTGTTAATCGACTAATTCGATAAAGGACCGACCGAATTGTCGAGTCGAAACACTCGGCCAATACACGCGATTCGGATGCTCGTCACAAGTACACGAGTCGTATTAAACGCGTTCCCGTTCGTTGTTAGTAGCGGATCGGGTCGGAGAGCGTTGGGGGCCCGTAAAGGTTTTCTGGGTTAGGTTTTATGTTGGCCGCCCACGTTCACAACGTTTTTGTTTTTATCATTTATTTTTTATTTTTCGTACATTACCGAGCCTTGCTGAAACAACTCGCGTGGAATCCCCAGGGACTGTATCTTAACACGTGTTTCGTACGTACATGTTTATGCTTTAAGAGTAGGAAATAATATATGTACTCCTTAGAGACGAATAAAATAAAATTGGATAAACACTAAATATGAAATTTATACCTATGCTGCGAGATCCAACAGTTGTGCTGAAGACATTATTGTTCCGGTCGAATAGAAAACATTTCTGAAAACTGAATGTTAAGTTCTTGTACACGGCCATTATAATCATGAGCTGTATGCACCGCTAAAACACGACGTATTATTGTTTCCATAACGAGTATTATTATTCTGTTTCCGGGCATGCGATTTGAACAAGTCGTTTGGCCTTTCATCGGCAAAAACAATGCGATTGATCTGAATTTTTTCAAACCATGAAAGTCAGCCGTTGATATTCACTACCGCTGCCACCGAGTTTCAATAATTTAATGCGACTTGCGTTATCGTTTTATCAATACATTTTCGGCTTATCAACTTCGAAGAAAAACGACGAGTTGATCGCGTAGATATTATTATTAAAAAATTATTCTGTATTCAAACTACATGGTTTCAAAGCCCAATTATGTGAGCATTTAGGTTACAAGATACAAACGTCCCGACGGTGTTGTGTTCGAACTATTCGTTTGAAAAATACGTTTTCATCTGATATACGCCATTATAAGATCGAACGCACCTGACATTCCCACGTCACTGTTTTACCCGGTTAATAATTTCGAAAATTGTTTCCGGTCCTCGATACTCAACTGACTCGTGAGTTGTCTGTTGTTGTCTAGCGGTTATAAAACCAAAACGCGGATGGTGAACTCAGTTTTATTATACATTATTATTATACGTGCGGCGGTTCGTTTAATTTGCTGCATGCGCAGTGAGGGACGGATAAAATTATAATAATAATAATAATAATAAATCGTAGTCAAGTATTCGTTTGTGAATACAATATTGGTTTTCTTGGCAGACGGACGGTGGTTTGATAAGTTTGATCCTGATACGAATCTCGAATCCTACTGCACTTGTTACGCATGAGGATATAAGTATTTTTAAAATTATTACAATATATAAAATCTGCAAAAACTTGGTGGCTACCGACAGTTATACGTTGAGTTTTACTTTTTATGGTTCTGTCAGGTTTCAAATTGAAATGGTGAACATACATGTGCACGCTTGGACGGAAAAATGATTTATTTGAAATATTATATTCATTCCGTGTCAGAATAGTTTTATTATTTAAGGGGTAAAAATTAAATTCATAAAAAAAAAAAAATATTTTATTTTAAATCATAACAGGTCGTATTAATCGGTGTATGATTGAAAGAACACAAATGGATTATAACTCTTATGGTATATTTTAGCTGTTACGTGATAAAAGTTTAATAATTTAATTATAACTTTGTGTAACAAATGTCGTTAAATGAGAATGACATAAAATATATCTGAGATTACTTAAAGAAAAGTACTTGTTTGTGCAGTGCAGTTATAACTTATTCAATGCTAAATGAATGAAAATAATGTGATTGCATAAAAATATAGTGATTTATTGAAATTGTATTTAATTTTTAAAATTATTAAACATTTTATGTCTTCTCTTTAGAAATAATATTTTAATCGTAATTTTGTTATTTCGGGCAAGTTTTAATACTTTTAATACTTATCTATACTTACGTGTATACATCAATTGGTTGCTTAAACAATATACAAGTAATAAATTTCAGATGTGCGTACTAATAATAATGAGTTGTTACGATTTTCGTGAATATTTTTACTTTTGTCAAAGAAGTTTTATCGAATACTTATACGATATGTTATGTCTATTACTTGATCATTATTCATCTTAGTGTACGCCCAAGTAATAGCTAATTAATACTTATTATTAGAATAGTGTTATTCGAAAGGTTATAGAATATAGTTATAAAAGATCTAGTAATTGTTTAAATTAATCAAAATGTTTAAACATGTTGTGTTCTCACCAAATATTTTTTTAAAGCTTATATAGTAAACTATTAAAAAGAAAATACGATAATATTATAAAATCGGTATTAAGGTTGCATATAATTTTAAAAATATAAAAATAATTAAAATATAATTTTTATTTTTTTTCATAACGAGTCGATTGCTAATATAAAACTCTATTAATTATTAGATTTAACAGCAGTAAAATAATGCAATCGGTATCGTTATTTTGTGTCAAATTAAAATCATTATTTAGGTATACATAAAGTATATAGTATACTATAAGTACACTGCGATTATTCTTAATTTACGATTTCTACAGTGAGATCTGGGAAACCTTCGAAACGAGAAAGATAAATATATCATAACATTATACCGTAAATCTACGTAAGAATACCAAATACACTTTAACAGATGCAGATAAGCTACGACCAGAATGACCTTTCAATAACAAGGTCTAACAGTATATTGAATTAAGTAGTATAATGTTGTGATACGAATTAAAGTAATTAACGTGTACTGTAGCTATACAAAAGTTAACTCATCAGATGATAAATGCCTTGTTAATAAAATGCTTTGATTCAGATAATAACGCTTACAACTTAAAATGAACACCTAAAGTTGGTGTGATTCAATTAAAATGCTCTCGTAATACGTCAGCAGTGGTTATACATGATGTTTAAAGAGGGGGGGGGGAGTGAAAATAAAATCAACCCTTCCCTACATCATAGCATTTTTATATATTTATATTATATTATATTATTTATATGTATTACCGGCAATATGGATATCCGGTATTTTGCAAAATGCCTAGGCATTATATAAAATGCCAAAAATCACTCGGCAATATACATAATACGAGCTTTGCCTTGGTATTATATATAATGCCAATTATGAAGTAGGCAATATGCAGAAAAACAAAATTGGACATCGCCTATTACCAACAACTTTATTTGTCGTTTATCATAAACGTGCGTTCACGATTTAACGCAATAAAGATTAATATTCTTTTACTACTAAAATAATAATTCTGTTGTACAATATTGAACGTACTAATAATATTATTACAATATCGTTATTTTTCTCGTCATTTTCGTTATATTAATAAGAGAGTTTTATCAAGTTTATCAAATGTATAGCAATGTTGATACATTAATAATATTAAAACAATAACATAAATGTATTAAAGAAAAGATATACATGTATTGACTTATAAAATTTATCTTATAATACTTATTATAATTATGATTATATCGGCCGTATGCGACCGAGACATAGAGTATGATAATATATTATTCGTGGATAAAACGAAAAAATAATTTGTTATAAAATCATGAGTTCGAAAATATAGATTTGTAGATAGGTGTTGTTGGGCCAACGATATACTAAATTTAAAAAACTAAATCCCAAAGGGGGGGGGGCGATCCATCTATCGCACCTTTATAATTGCCACTTTAATACCTATTTAAGATTTTTGGTCTAAAGCTGTAAACAGCAAACTATGAAAGTCGTTTGCAACCGAAAATCACTTAGCTTCTTAAGTCGTCAATAAAATCATAATGTATAAACATAATAACAGTAATCGAAATTAAAGTCATAAAAATCATCTTCGAATAATTATTTCAAGATTATTGAGAAAACGTTGAATGACCTATTAAGAGTAATGTAGTAATAAATTATTTTTATTTTTAGGCACTAACACCTAATACTTGTTACATATTGCTTTCCCTCCCAAAAAAACCATAACCTGTAAGAATAAAGGTTTAGATGTTAATGAGTTAGTTTGGTATTTTCACTTACGTATGCATTGATACATTTCGTCTCGCTACCAGAAATGTATAGAATTTTATTTTTGGATATTTTAGATTTTTAATTATAAATATATGTTTTTATACGAAACCTATGACGAAAATGTCGTATTTCGCTCTATTTTCAACTTTAAGGTGATCGACATTATCATTTGGATCTACTTATATATTCTTATTATTCAGTTCTTTAAAAATATATTTTTTTTAAGCATCGTAGTACTTGCAATGTCTATTTAAAAATACATAAATTGTGTTTTTTTACTTATGAGGTACATCTGTAATGACCTGTACGAACAACAAATATTAGGAATTATTGGTATATGACCATTCTATGTATATTGCGGTGTTGGTTTATAGTTTAATTTATCGTACAATCATCCATTTGTAACTAATTGTAAAAAAAAAGTTCTTTGGGGTCCCTATGGGGATATATATATATGGTTTAGAATAACAAAGAAACAAAAATACTTCATTATATATATAAAAAAAAAAAAAATCTTCATATAATTATCGACTTATGAAATACTGTAAAAACATTATTTTCAACAGTCGCACACTTTATACAATTGTTGAAGTAGATTTATGGTATTTCTTGTGCTGATGTAGGGATACTTATAAAATATTTAAATATATACACTTTTTTCTCGAGAAATCCAAAAATATTTTTGAAACTCGTCTGCAATTCGGCTAGTGAGAAGATCAAACCATTTAATTCTTCGATTGATCTTCTTATCACATGGGAATATAAAAAAAAAACTTTTGAATTCTTCCATAGTGGATATCGATATCAATGCTAAGAAAAATAAAGCCTTTCGATCTCTACGACACATGATAACAATATTGGAATTCGGTTACTAGCCGAATTTTTCGTCGACACCATCCGATGGGAAGTGACCGGGTTTCTGCACTCATTAATGCATCTGATTCAATAAAACGTACAGCTATTGACCAACGCCTTAAATGTTTAAAATACATACCTTCGGTCAGATTCATACGAAATTTAAATGGATAGTTTCCGTAAGGCATGAGTTATAAGATTAAAATTAATGATGTAAAATCCATCTAAGTGAACATTTTAATAATTTTTTTTCTTGAAATAAATAATGAAATAACAATATCTATAGATGATACAATCACTTGACGATTACTTAACTAAATATCACACACAGCATTCCAAATAAAAATGAAAACTCGTATTTATTTAATTTTGTATTGAAATTATACATCGTTACTTACAAAAACCGTCAAGTCGATCAATTTCTTCGTATCTATTACGCGTTATATGTAAGACAGACTAAGGAGTAAAAATTTCGAAAGTCTGTCTTAAGTCTTGGTATCTATAAGGATCTTTGTATAATAAAAAAGAAAAATATAGTTTAAAAATCGGGATCTTTTCCGTTAATTCACTACCGCTTGATACATATTCTATTGCTCTAAAAACTGTATCTTATCATATCTAATCTAAATAAAATTATATTGAAAGTCTAAAGTTAATGATTATTAACACGAAGCCGAAGGTATCGGTTAGGTACCAGTATCTGGTTTTGATCTATTATCATAATGAAAATTGTTTGGATTTTTTTTTTCGAAAAATCGGAACTTTAATTTTCAAAATGTTAGGACTTCGTTTGTTACGCCTATCGGCTCCACTCACCAAATCGAGTGACACTGCATGACACTTTTTGGGGCGATGGAGCTTCGCCCCATGAAAATATACATTATAGTCCTAAGCATGACCTAGTTTTTGTACAAACCTTGATACTGTTGCAAATGGGATTGTGTTTTGTATGTGAACCTAAAACCTCGCTGCGCGAGTAAATCACATACCTAGACCACAAATATAAGGTATTATATTATAACTAAACGATAATTTATAAAGTTAATCAGTATAAATCACTTGATTTTGTTGTTATTCGAGTATAATCCGGATGGTCGATTATAGACTATAGAGTATTTTTAAATTTACTTAATTAAATAATTTCAAAATATTTTGTTAAATATTTTCGATAACGAAAAATAATACAATAATTATCTACTAGGTAACCGTATTGAATTTCTCAAAACTTCATTACATAACATATTACGATCCGTCACCCGTTGGAAAAGTATTTGAATCAAAGTGTGACATCGTATTGTACTCGTATATTATACTTTTCGACTATCGCTTGGCTTTCAATAATCGTTGCTATATTAATCAAGTATGGTATGTTCAGATACGCATTTAATCACATGCTCGTACTTTTTCGGAGTTTATGCCACCTCGAGATTTAAGTGATCGCACATGTCTTGTGGTTTACCAACGTAACGTTCTCTTCGTACAGTGACAGGATAATATCGACACCAAATGAATCCGCCAAAACAGGCGGTACATAAGACACACAGTAGTATTATATTATTTCCATATTTTCATGCTAAACGAATAAATCAAATAAAGCGAATATGTCAACTTATCAGAAATACGTATTGCCAAAGATTACCTAGTAGATACGCACTGACTAAAAACGAATAAGCCGGAAGATTTCTCGTTCGGTAAAAAAAAAAAAAAATTAATAATAGAATAGACTTATATACTTAGACTTACTCAATATTTTGATAGGTTGACGTTTTTGAATGGTTTAACCGACTTACGTTTCGAGCCAATGCTACCATGACGCGTGTCATCGATGTTATGACGTATTGTTTGTAGTTTATTTTTAACCGTAAAAAAATAACTTATCTATTTTTTTATTTCGTATTCAATTAAAGGCGCGCGGGACGTTTAATAATTACATTTAGTTATTACATAGTTACCACCGCTGTGGTCGACAAGAACCATTTGTCTGGATTAAGTTTGATTTTTCTTCGGACTGCGATCGAAAATACATTAAAATAATTATTATTGGCGTTCTGATTTCAACAAAACGTATCAAAAAAAAAAAAAAAACTGTTCGTATTTCGAACCCGAAATCCCGAGATAGGGACGCTGGATAAATGTATACCTCCCTCCCATTCAATGCTCTATCGTGTGAATCGATTTGTATGAAAACAGCGTCACACGATTTAGTTCGACCCGTTCGACGCGTTTAAATGGAAATATAATACGTGGATGTGTAACGAATTTCAATTGATTTTATTTTTTTGACGATTTCACGATAGAACTTATTCCCGCTGATCGTATAGCTTCACTTGTAAATAAATTATACATGCATGTGGTTTTAAAATACATTTGATCGTATTTGTTATTGCACTGTGTACGTGCCGACTCGCTGTGTATGGTCGACTCGCTTGTTCACGAAAACAGTAATTTTACCGTTGAATAAATTATCGGACGCAGTAGGTCAAATGTGTTTGGACACCGCGTCATAATGTTCCATAATCTTTTAATTAGCAGCCGAACAATATCGAATATTTGAATCGGCCAATCAGACGGTGAATCAATTTATTGTGTTTTAACATCGCGTCGTAGACCGTTATTGCTATTATGGGGAATATTATTTAAAACCATTGCACGAGGTGGAAACATAATCACTGAGTACTTACCGAACAGTTTATTACTAATACACAAAGAAAACTGTTCGAGTATTTAATAGGATCCAATGAACGTTTATCGTGTATTAAATCGTGTACTTAAACCGATCGCCTTGTATACAGCGTATTACGCTGGTTGGATTAATACGAAATTCACAAGTGATTTGATTTTATCGTTTTAGTCGAATTAATCCGAAAAAAAGAATCCATTTAATATTTTTTTTTTCACTACAAAACTTAACCAATTATATTTTAACGGTATACAGTCTTGTGTTAAAATCAACTTTTATACGAAAGATGAAAAAAATAGAAAATAAAACTTTTTTACAAACTTGGAAAAGCTACGTTTTGATCAAACACTGTGCAAAAGGGTTATTTGTATGAATAAAATAATACTGTGTACATGTATGAATATTTGTCGCTGAGGTATGATCGATCCGTTAAACTTCTCTGAGCTCTGACACGAGGCAGTTCGTTCATGTTTTATTCAAAAACGTCGCGCATGGACGCTGCACAATCATTTTGTAGATGGAAACAAATCAATTATTTTTCAAAGGTACGGCTACCATTTTTTCTTAGCCCATGCACTCGTACGATAATAATTCTTTTCTAATTCCATGATGATGAAATGTACGTTCATGGCCGTGGTGGTTTGATTTGGTTCGATTTGTACATGATTATATCATTTCGTATATTCATAGCGATATTATAACGATGACAAATGCTTATTATACTATTCAACTCTAATCTTATCGACTCGTTCGCGTTCGGTCTGCTTGTACGGCTGAGCTTATACATACATGTATTGTAATAAATCCGTCTCGAGTGTAAAATCGTTCAACAAACGATAACGAATAACTCGTACCTGATTTATATGCGTTGGGTGTACAACTTTTTATTTATCCGTCTGAAGAACTTCGTGTACGGTTTTCGTTTTGAAACCTGTACATTTATTATTATAGTTCAACTTGGCAAAAATTCACTTCGATATTTAAATACTAGAAAATCGCGGTTTTGTGGTGCTTATCTATATTGTCTTCATACAGATGGCCGGGTGAGCATACAACAATATCAAACATAACCCCAACGGGGTTTAATCGAATCATTTTTTTTTGCGGTGCACAGTTTTTATTATTTGCCCGATCACGGTGTTGTCGTTTCTACTTACGGTGCGATACTGCGGCACTGTAATACAATACGATAAGTTCTATTCGAATCGATTCGGCACGAATAGCGGAATAAATAATAACGTGATTGCTGGATTGCTCGATTAATATATAAAAAATATATGCATTCTGTTCGCAGTCAAGCAGTCAAGTACGGCGATACAGTTTACTTGTCCGGCGCGTTGGGCTTGGACGTCAACACCGGTAAGCTGGTCGAAGGCGGTGCCGGTCCAGAGACCACCAAAGCCTTGGAGAATATTCAACGTATCCTGGAAGCGTCTCAATCTTCATTCCGTTCAGGTTGGTCCAGACAATGTTATACGTAACAAATGGGTTTTCGATCAACGTAATCATATAATGCCGATGCGTGCTATTGTCCGGACAAAGTCTCATTAACACTTTTCAAAAGTGCTACACCGCACTCAAATTGCTTTTATCGACTTTTTTTCTTTCATCATTATTTTAAACTCTCGAGTTTCAACGGTCGCCATAAATAATACATTAGGTAATTAATACAATAAAAAATACAATGCGATTAATTAAACCCAACAACGGTATTATAGTAATATGTCTATTACATGTAAGATATAATTTCATTAAAAAAAAGATTAATGTTGAATGGCTTTTGTGAGAATATAACGAAATCGTTTTTTTGTTCCTCGCCATCGGTCCTCAATTTGAATGGGCCTACTAATAAAAACTTAGATTGGACCACTAGCCTTTTTTTTTTAAATATAATTAGGAAGAAAAAAAAGTATTTTTTATAATGACACCTTTGTGCCACAATATGAAAACAAATGTTTTCGAAAAACACATCATAAAGTGATGAAACTCTATAAAATATCTTCTTTTCACGTATAACCTTATCGCAACTACCTATTATAGTTTGATTGCAATATAGTTAATGTAAATGGTAATTGCGTCAATTTTATGCTACTTTTTTGTTCGGTTCATATTCTTGCCGCACGCTTTTGATACTTTGAACACGTTCGTGAAACACCAGCCGGGGGGTAGGAAAACCTCCCACGTTGAGAAGCACTAACCTATGTCTCTCGTGGTATTATCGTGTTGGATTGAGATTCGTGCGGAAGCACGTCGAAGCGAACGAAAAAAATAACGTTGATTTAAAGACTGCGCTATTGCACACCGTTGTTCTCCGACTGGCAAACGTTAATCGTGTTTTTTTTTTTTTTGCTAGACGACCGGATGGACCTTTGAGCTCGTGCATCGGTTTAAAGTTTTCTAACACGTAATCAACTCTTGATCTTCCACCGAGCTAGGCGTTTTCGTTTAAAATGACGAGCACGTTAACTACGCTGTCCGTCCCCCTATCGAAGTTGACGAGGTTCTAACGGGACCAGGGGCTCGCATGATTCACCATCACACGACGGGCATCGGTTTTTATTTATCAGAGCTGTAACTAGGGTGATGTGAGCGAGGCACTTGCCTCGGGCGCCTGAAGCTAGGGGGTGCAAAAATATTAAAAATTAACTTATTTTAAGAAATGTTATTTCTTGTTTTGCTAGAAACCTAATTACAATTTTTCAGATTTTTCCAAATCGTATTATACATATTAAAAGCTGTGAGTGCGACAATCCTATAATCTAGGGGGCGCATTGCTTCAGTTATGCCTCAGGATAAAAAATGGCTCGATACGGCTCTGTTATTTATATTCCGTAGAGTTGAATTTTCTGTGCTTTCGTGGCCTTCCCCGACGAGTTGACATTATAATATTGTAATACGCGCATTTTAAACGTATAAATTGTAATTGTACGTCAAAACGGTAAATCCGTTAATCCATTAAATATGTGATCGATTAGAAAACGTGTACCGATTGTTTTTGAATGATATACGTATAATATCGCGTGGCAAACTGATTGTTTAGGTTTTTTGCACCAGACATCATTATCATACTGTCCGGCGGTTATGTATAAGGAAACACGTTATTAAGACATTTATTATGAGTGATTTTGATGAATGTCGAACAATTGTACAATTGAATTTTTTAGAGTTTCGATGAAAACACAAATTAACCACACATGTGTACCGATTTTTTTTTTTTAAATCAGAACGTAAAAAAATTAAAAATAAAAAAACACAGCTTGTAATGAAAATATTATTTTTATTAGTAAAAGATACGATTGCGGATATTTTTTACTGTATGATTTATAATTTTTCAAATAAATGTTTTACCCTTAAATTTGTTAGTAAAATTAATTATTAAAAAGAAAAAAAGATTTCATGTTAAATCAAGAATTTTCACTCTATATTACTTTGCTTTTTTTTTTTTTACTCTTTTCGCTATAAAATATACAAGGTATAGCCAAAAATTGAAATGTTCAGCATTGATAAAGATAAATAAATAAATAAAATAAAATAAACGGCATAAATAAATTATATTTTTCTAGATAGTTAGCTAGACTAAAGACTTTTTTTATTTATTATTATCTTTTATAATGTACACACCTAAATGTTTTATCAAATTATTAAAAAAAATGTGTATATTTCATTTTGTAAAGTATATTTAAAGATTTTCTCAAAAACGTTGACAGTTTTACCTTTCCAATTTAACGTATAATTTTTTTTTAATTTACTAAAAAATTTTTATTAGATAATAATTTATAAATTTATAAGTGAGCATGTATCTGATATCAACACAAATTATATAATTTAATAACAATTTGTCCATAGTAAATGAAAAAGTTAATTTATATTTGTTATTTTTAAATTTGGTGCGAAAATAACAAAATAAATAGTAATTTATTAATTTTTTACTCAAACATTTATATTTAATTTACATTTAATATTAATTAATTTAGTCCTTAGCCATGTGCGTAATTGGAAAAAATAAAATAATCCGATTATTCTTATAAACGTCTGAGAAAATGCAATTAATGATCCTTTTGGGAAATGTATATTTGTATATCTTATTAGAAATTTGTCTTCAATTACTTCATGCTTTAGGTCATATTTACTGTGCAATATGAGCATAAAAGTGCAAGTATTTATAAAATGTAATATTTTTTTTAATATTTACAATTTATACTAAAAAAATTTAAATTGTATAAATAATTTAAATTTATGTATGTATGACAAATTTATGTTACAAATGAGTTTATGTGATATATTTTACTGGGTAGGCGTATTATACTGACTTGTGGCGAATGTCCACGGTCGGAAGACTGCTTTGCCAATAACTATTATTCATTGCCTGTTGATATCTTCATTCATATAAAAATGTTTGAAAAATGTAAAAATAATTTTTAGCTACCAAATGTTTGGTAGCAGTTGCAAACGTGTTATAACTATTTTAATAATTAATTACACTTCCATTCGCATAATATTTGCATTTAAAGAGTAAAAATAATTAAAAAATAAAAAACAACACGAATTTTAACATTTATCATTAATTTATATTAGTAAAAATAAATATAGTTATTAACTTTTTTTTAACAGTTAAACTATAATTATTGTTTAAAATTAACATTCAGTTTTTCATACGAGGATTAGGACATTATGTTAAAATGAAAATGGTAATGTTACTACGTTTTGTGCATAAAATATTTATTATTTACCTACCCTTGACGCTGGTCGAAAAAATTATAGTAAGAGTGCAAAATGTGTATTAATAATAAATGTCATAATATATTGAATATATTGTCTTTTGAAAAACTTCATATAACCAAGTAGAAAAATAGGTATAAAAAAGGAAAAATAAAAATTATAAAAAAAAAAAAAAACGAATTAAACAATATGTATTTTATTTTTAAACAAGTCAACATATAATTAGGTAGGTAATTATACAAGACGAATGATGAAAAAAAATAATTATATTTTGTTCGGTAAATGTATTATGTTCATCTTAAATACGAAAAAAAATATAATTTAATACATATACTTATATAAAAGGAATTTTATTTATGTCGATTACAGTTTTCTTCACAATTACGTAATCAAATGAAAAAAAACCCTTTTATTTTGGTGATAACAAGTTTGACTAATTTTCGTAAGTGTATTTCTTTTTACTATTTTCAGTCGTTAAGACCACAGTTCTTTTGGCTGATATAAAGGACGGACCGACGGTGAACGAGATTTACAAACAATGTAATTATGCAGAATCATTTGAATTTCAAAACAGATAGCTTTAAGTACTGATTAAAACAATAATTTCTCTCTTTATTTTCTCTTTTAACAGTTTTCGTGCAACCGTATCCTGCTAGAGCAATGTTTCAAGTGGCCAATTTGCCTTTGGTGAGTATTAAATAATAATTACTTTAAGACACATTTAATGTGATAAATTACGAGTATGGCTCTTCCCTACCCGGTCCACTGCGGGTTGTCACTTTAATACGTAGACTACTTGTGGCTGCTTTCCGTTTTATCCTTTTTAGTACCAAGTCAATAAATTTACCAAACGATAATTGTCAATTCGGCAGTTAAATTATGTGACGATTTTACCAGCTTGGCAATTAATCTTTTGTACGTTTTTTTTTTAGGGTGCCAAAATTGAAATAGAAGTGGTTGCTGCGGTTAACAAGTGATCGTGATAAAATATATTCCATTAATTTTTTTCTGTCAAATATAAAACAAATAATAAGCAACGAAAATAGTTTACATTTGTTATTTACAATAATATAATATGTGTGTTATATAATAATATGTATATATATCTTATATATAATAGCAGGTGGGCTACTCAATGCATATTCAGCAAAACAAGAAGAAAAATGTAGGGACATTTGGAAATACGACAAAGTCGTGCTTATGGTTTTATTTTTGTATTTTTTTTTTTTTTTTTATAAAAACGGGAGAAACACTGACAGAAAATAACGAAAAAATTATAACCGAGGAGTTTTTTTTTTCTACAACACCCTTCATTTGATAACGCAAACAATATCAATTCGAAATGAATACAATGTCTTTCAACATTTTTCTACAGTGTTTTTCCCGTGGTCCACGAACAGAAAGTTGTAGGGTACGCATCGCGGACTTTCTGTGCCAGCGGCGGTGAGAGGAAATGCAAATTTCCCTTGCAATTAGTAACCGAACAAAGGAATCAAATCGTCGAGTCGGTGGTCGGTTATCACCGGGACCGGGTTCCCGTGTAACGTCTCTGCTGAGATTTTCCATTCGCGGCGTCCCGGACGGGCCACGTTTGAACGCGCAGGAGCCAGCAGGAGACGTTCAATTCGGCGCCATCAACGTCGTGGTCGTCCTGTTGTTGTTGGTCAGCTCGCCGACCATGATGCTGTTGTCCAACATAGCTTCGCCGTTTTCTGCGATTACGTCTTGTTTGTTGAAAATCGTTTTGCGCGGGAATCGTAACGCTTTGTCCACGGTCGACGACGTGGCCGTACCACTGGACTCGTTGATTGTGACGATCGTGGGTTGCCAGGACTTGGTGGTCATCAGTCGCTTCATCGAATTCACCTGCGAACGATCAAACGATCAATGGATCAAGAAAATAAAACGTCGATTTATGACATTAAAAAAAAAAAAAAATACATTAGTATTAGTACAGGTTACGTTTTCGCAGCGTTCCGTAATTCTGAAATTAAGTCCCTATGAGTACTCGACCGCTACAATAGTTACTTCGATAGATCAAAAATGTTGCTTAGTATTAATTTTTAATTTATAAAATGCGTTTATATACCAGTGGTGGCCAGCGAGAAGAGATTTGCGAGCCGCCAAATATATCAATAAATAATAATATATATTATATATAATATATATTTATACGATTATCGTAAATAAGATATTATATCAATTGTCATATAAGCCGCAGAGTCTATGATATGAGTCGCAGTTTGGCCATCACTGGTATAAAATGCATTAAACGAAGAAGTCCGTATGAAATAAATCAAAATGAGATTCCGCTCCATTTATCTTGAAAAGTTAGTTAAACGCAGATTTAGAATGTTTATAGCCATTAGTAGGGCATAAATTTAATAAATTTGTCAAAAATCGTTTACATAGTAGTCTTATACAATCATCCGTCGTAGCGCTTCATTTACATACGGAAGCAAGGTGTGGAAAAATAATAAGTGTTATTGACGGTTTATGCGCGGAATGTATTATTCTTATCTAGAATTAAATAGTGCATATTATGCAAAGCCACCGAGACTGGGAAAAATGACGTTCAAATGGTATAGTGGCGGATGTTGATAATTTTTTAGGTGGAATTTATTTGTGAATATTAATTTGTGATAATTAAGTTTTTCTTACGGATAAAATAAAAAATTAAACTATTTCCTAATTAAATTTGTAATAGTCTACATTTCAGTGTGTATACTAGACATGTTTCTGGTATAAAATTCATTAAAAATGGGGTACCGAGTATTAGCCGAGTATAAATTGCAATATTTCATCGAATACCGGGTAAGGGCTGAGTTTTAATTAAGACATCAAGTACTCAGCTATTGAGTAAAATTTCTGAAAACACGGAATTTTTCTAGTGATTACCATGCCTACTAGTAATCCATACATAGCGGGGAAAAACAATTTATCAGCATTTATTTCTAACTAAATACCCTACGCCGGGAGAAAAATGTTAGTGAAGATATGCATGTACCTAAGAACTCTTTGTACCTCGTCAAAGTGACTGCTGCTGAAACTTCTGCTGTGGCTATGATGTCTCTGCCATTTATAGTCCAGTGTAGGCATGCCATGATCAGGGCTCAAGCCACTAGCTCCCTTGCAAGATTTCCAGGTTTCCTGACAAACGATATAAAATTAACAATTTAATGTAAAATGAGTGTACACGAAAATAACAAAATACGTTGAACTTGAAACCTATTTAAGTTGGTAGCTTTAAATTATTCTTTATATATTCATAATAATACTACTGTTTTTCGACTAGAAATTATTTTCCGTTTGTCGAGAATACGTGAAAATAAAATTTATTGCAATCATGTATGCGCAACTCGTGTAGAAATACAATTTATAAGTTGTTCTTAATGTTCGGAAATGAATACTTTTCTCTGAGTCTATTAGTTTTGGCAGTAGTAGTGGTGGTAGTAGTGCTTGTTCCATAAAACTTTCACAACTTAACGCATATGAAATGTCATCGACCCTGGTGCGTTTAGAGACAAATTTTTCAAAAGTTTAGAAAAACTGTATTATTACCAGATGGGTAAAATACCTTTCAAAAGTATTTAGAATAAATACTCGAATACTTACAAAAAGTAGTATTCCGAATATGTATTCAAATACTTTATACAAATTGTATTCTGAATACTTTTAAAATACTTCTAGTTTTCATACTATAAAAATAATAGATGTCCACTCAACAGAAATATTTGAAATTGTAGACTAAATGTATGTTTTTTTATGGTATTTTTATATTACATAACTGTTATAGTTTATGGTTTATAATAATAATAAATATCTGATATTAGATTATACAAGATACGACGGAGAAGTAATAAAATCATTAAAAAAAAAAGATGATTTGACGGTATTCGAAATACAGTATTAAAAATGATTTATTGAATACTTTCAAAAAAAGTATTTAAAAAGTATTCTGAATACTACTTAAGTCTGATTATTACGACATTCACGATTTTTACGTATTCGATTTTAATAGTTTTGTGGTAAAAAAAAAAAAATTCACAAATATCATCAGATATTTTGATGAACATTTACATTTTGAAAACGACAAAACAAGCTATGTTTATGTTGTTTTGTTTGAAAATGAAATTAATTCGTATTTCTTTAAAAACTTTACATGGCGGTTCATCGTTTTTCGCGCTATTCTGATTATGCGATCGAAAAATCTTCAAGTAGTCGCAATTCTTATTGACATGGACTACACGATTTGAATTTATTCGAATTTCTCAACAGCAATAATACTCATTCGAAAAACGATTTCTGTCGTTCTCGGAGCTATTTCGAAAACATTTTGGTGATATAATAACGATAGCTCGTTTTTCGAACGCGACGAAATGGATTTTAAATACGTCCGAACTTAACTGGCAAAACTGTAACGCAAAACCGCCTATTGATGGATCGTAAGTTATATAATGTACTTAAATATCATGTCCACTGATTTTCGAATCAACAAATAATAATTATTTGAAATTATTTTATGTAAAATTATTTTAGATTGTCCGTGAAGGATTATGCTCCTACATATCAGTATGAGTGGATTCTCGAAAATAAGGTTGTTTCAAACTTTGAGCACACCGAGTGTCTCGTAAGGATTTACTGATCCTGTGATATCTCTTTTGTTGTTTTAAAATATTATTTTTAATCGAATTTGTTTCTTAAAAACTCACTCGTAAGTAAAGACAACCATTATTGATTAGAAAAATTAACTTTTTATTATGTTATTTTTATAAAACTTTAAGACACAGTCGTTTTATATGATTAATTTTTATAATATTTTTATATTATTCATTTTTTTAAATATTTTGATGGTTCAACTTCGGACAAGCTTCAATGAAAAAGAAATAAAGTTAAATATTTTTTTATTTTAGTTTTAATTTACGATCTAAGAGTATTATTTAATATTATCAAAAGCTTGTCATTGGACGAAAAACAAGTGTTTATCGTTGAAATTATTGTCCAATACTAATTTTTGTCCGTAAGTTAAAATATAAATTATACAAATATAAATAATACCGGAGCTATCGAAATGAATAAGCCCCCGTGAAATATTTTGTATACTATACACACAAGATAGGTGTCAAGAGGTACAACCAGTGCCTAGGGCACTAGTGACCTAGGGGAGGGAGAAAGGCAACTGGGTATGTCTGGCTTGGACCAAGAGCTAGGAAACTGGCTTGCCTCATATGTTGTTGGTATACGGGTGCTCTTGAGTTTATGAAAAATAAAAAAAGTCATGAACATACCCCGTACTTCCACCTACGTAAGGGCGCTATATTTTTATTAGCTCCAGGCGCTAAATTTTCTAGATACAACATTGGCTATGATCATCACCATCCACCAGGTATAACCACTGTTAAAAGTAACGTCGTGTTACTCGTTATTCAGTTGAAGAAAGTCATTATGTTTCTTTTTTTTTTTTTTTATCTCAAATTTACTCACCGAGAAAAATGTACTCGCGATAATGATAAACGGTCTTCTTAAAAGGTTTTAAATGAACTGTTAAAAATTTATTAGTTAAAATTATTTCCCATTCATATTTGTGTAATCGTTTGTTTACCTTTATATTTTGATGTCTCGTTTAACGATATAATAGATGTATTACTGCGTCATCGAGGATCGAATAAAGATAAAAATTGTGATAAAATAATTTCATCCGCAACATAAACCAAATTCGTTAGGATAATATTTACCGAAACGGATTTTTGTAAAAAAATAATCACTAATGATGCTTTGTTTGCGACGTTCATAGAATTAATGAGGTGGTATGACATAAAGATACATCATACGAGATATGATTTGCAAAAAATACAAACCACATGCGAATATAATCATACGCATTTGAGCGGAAAATAAAATGAACTTAGTTAAACGGAATCGTATGTGAAGATTAAAAATGGTATACCAAATAATGTACAGAATAAATCCATTAGATTCAACAGTTAAGTTTTATACTGGGAATATATTTTAGTGGAACATTAATTGATTTTTCGTTTCAAATTTTTAATTTTCACGATTTGAAGCGTTTATTTTTTAATTGAAAATATCGTATTTCCATTTATCCAAAAATATTACTGGTAACATCTAAAATACATTTTTCGTATAATTGTATAGAAAAATCTTAATGCTTTAAAACCATCTGCATTAATTAGTATACAAGAAAATTATTTTAATAAGTAACGTTCAATATTTCGACAAACGAAATGCATACTATTTACCGAGTTTTATATAAAATATGAAGTATTGAATTGTGGTTAGTTATTTTCAAGTATTTTATATTAAGACGAGCAAAATGGAACACCGAAATGATGTAGGGTAAAAATCACTAATCTTTTCATTTAAATTTAAGAACATTACATTAAAAACGATTAAAAACGTATTTTGTAATTATAAATAGTGAAAACTTGAAATAATTATTACGAAAAAAAAATAAAAAATAATTTAATGCTTTCATATTGATAATTTATCAGTAAATCTCGCAATGGGGAACGTTGTGACGAATGTTGCAATGGTTATTATACCAGTTTTATGTTTATTACACCAGTGTACACACTGTTTTTGTTTTGCGTAAATCAGTGAATGATTCGAAAGGGAACCAATAGCGTTATAGTCTATAGGTGTGTGCGCGGCCGGACTGGATTAGAAATTTCAATCAGGGAAATAAAAATAAACGACCTTCTTAGATATAAAAGGTATAAAAACAACTCTAAAAAAAACGTATATTTTCAAATAAAATTATTGTATATTATTTTGAGAATTTGAACACTTAATATTATTATTAAAAATTAAAAGACCATTTATTTAATTTTTGACAGTTTGTAATGTAAGCGTATTAGAAAATGCATCTATGGGTGTCGACACAATGAGCCACAACCGATAAACCTAAAAAAACTTCCAAACGAGTGAAAGTGGCCTAATTCAAACAAGCGGCCCACCAGAAAACTTCCGATATCTCCCGCCTACCCAGTCCGGCCCTGGATGTGTGTGTATGTGGGTAGGGATGTTCTAAAGGTCTAAACAGCTATTTTATAACTATCCTAGTTTACATTATTCATGCGCGTAACCACCTCAAAATATCAACTATATATTATTATTATTATTGCCTACCGCTGTTACATATTATTATCATTACAGTTCGATCGCATCGGGATTCCACCCGTGTACCGCTATTGGCTGCTGTCGTATACAATTAAATCATAAACAAGGCAAAATATAAAAATATAAAAAAAAGAGCTCATGAATAATCACGACCATTTTAAAACGCTTAAGTTTCGCAAGTCTGCAATTGAAGTTCTTCACAGATGACTTCAGGTCGCAGTTCGAGAGCGCATAAAACGTTGTGTGACATAGGATCACGTGCAGTCAATAACATGAACAAAATGTAATAACAATAATATTAATATCCTTCGGATTGGTCTAGTATACTTCAGTAGTGTGAATTTAGCACATTAACGAAAATGGTAACTCAAACATAACAAGAACACAAACAGAAACCTGTTGAAAGGCTCGAAAAATAATATTATTTTTTCAACAACCCATCAGCGGAAATAATATTTTCAAAATTCATATTTTTTTCTAATCGATAATATAATACTTTCTTTTCTAGTGCTACTTATTATTATTATTATTTTTTGTCAATGTTAAGAATAGATAACAGAAAAATCAACTATACAGAAATAAATCGATTTCAAACTAAATAAAATATAAAATATAAATTGTAATTATAAAAACTAACAATTATATGTATTTTAAAAAATAAATAAGATAAATACAATTTTTCAGAAAAATAAAAATTTAAAGTATGATTGTAGAACAATTACAGAGTTCGTATATTTGGTTGGTAAATTATTGTTTTCGTAATTTCTTAAAATTCGATACTTTCTACAATCAGTGTGTTAATTCAAAATCCGATTAGTTTTTCTATATTACTGTTTTTATAATGATATTCTTAGAACCACAACGTATCCGCACTTCTGTACATTTGTAGACCATTTTGACTTGTATCAAAATGTCTAGTTGGGAACTGTTCAAATGTAAGGTTTTTTCCTATGCCGATTATTATTTTTACCACATATAGGTACTTATGGATTCCGTAATGTGTTATATTGTGCATTCATTTTCATTTTTTCATTTTATACCAATTATTCCCAATTTGGGGGGGGGGGGGGCGTGTACACATTGCTGGGGAGGCGTAAGCAGTTATTAAAAAATACAACTTTTATTTTAAAACATAGAGAAAAATAAAATATTGATCGGTTCTCTTTATACGTTCTCTATCAAATATTGAGACGAACAAAAAAAAAAAAAACTGTCGAAAGTGTTGTCAGTACTAACATTAATTAACATTAATTATTCATTTCATTATGTATTTTTTTTATTTACTATTATTAATTTTTTATATTCATTTATTTCTATATTATTTCTCCTTAATTGATTAATCCATATTATTATTTATATTTTATAATTATCATCAATAAAAAATTATTTATCATTCCGAATTTTCTATAGCTTATTTGGAAAGTACACAAAAAAAGATGATTGATTTTTTTCAATTTATACGAGAGGGCGAGATATTTGAGAATTTACAAAAGGGGCGTAGATTAGAAGAGGTTGAGAATTAATACGTTATATTTTCAATTAAAGAGAGTTAACTTTTTCCAACAACAGAAAGCTTTATAAAAAATACGATTTAAAAAATGAAATCGTTAGCATTGGTCAGACTTACCATTGAACTTTTTTCATGCTAATGCTATATGCTATGCTAATTCAATATCGATAACCATACTCAAGATCACAATGGCTTATACATTTTCTAAAAGGGTTTCAGACATTGGAGACTATCTTGTATAGAAAAAATAATCCTTTACAATTATCACTTTAATCACTATAGCATATTGTTGGTGAAAATGATTGCATTTCATTCTTAGTTGGTTTGACTATATAAGTTGCAATAATAAACTCTTTCAAGTATTTTGATTGGATATAAACAACAAAAAATTGTATTACATTATTTGTATGTTTGCCAAAATATTATCATAGTTTATTAAATAATAGTAAAATAAAATTTTCAGGACAATAAATACGTTTTGAATAAATCGTAAATTTTATGTATTTTAGGGGTCCATTATCTATATGGGAACTCGATGACTACGAGTGAATTATCTGTGTTTTAATTTTAGTGATACAGGAAGTTCTCGTTTACCGTCGCCTTATTCAGTATTGTTTTGCAATTACGTCGTAGAAGATAGGTCCTTGTGTTTCTTTTAACATTGCATCGGTTTCAGTATTTACGTGTTCATTAAATTTTTGTAATATCTATATATATTTTGGTAATTTAATTTCGTCGACTTTTTTCAGATAATACTTTTATTGTTTTGATTTGCATACATCCCTATCATATTTTAAGGTACTATTTTTTTAAATTTTAGGTAATACGTACTTCGTAAATTTCTAGATGCGTTTTTTATGGTTGATATATTAAAAAAATGGGAAAATGATAATTATTTCAAAAAAAAATTGCTAGTAAAATAATTAAATCGTGCAATTATAATACATATATCAGTGATTCTTATCCTTTTTTCATTCATGTCACCTTTAGCCACTAGAATTAAACACCGCGTCACCCTAACATCAAAATAATAAATAATCTTAACTGTGTATTTTAGAATAATTCTTGAAATAACAAAAACAATAAAAACAGATGAATAATAACAGAAGAAAACAGTAGAACACCTTCAATTTATTGAGATGCATTGTTCAATAAACATTGATATTATAAAGTTTATACTTAAAATTAAAAAAAAAAGAGAGAACATTTTTTAAAGATTTTTATACTTATTTGTTTTATTTGTATATAATAATACTACATATCTAACGACTGTAAAATAACTAACGACCCCGGTTAAGTCGATAAAAAAATCGATAATACATCGATTTTGCGTTAATAACAATACTGCACATATTCATTGGATCTAAATAATATAAAGATGTAAACTTAAAGGTATGCTATTTACATGACTGTTGTCGTAATAATATGGTTTTATTAAAATTAATTTTTTTCTAATTTTTTTCCTTTTCCTGTGGAGATTTCGTGTCACCCCTACACTGTGTCCATGTCACCCTTGGGTGACATGTCACCCCGGTTGAGAACCACTGACATATATTGTTATTATTTGCAGAAATACAATATAATAAAGTGTATGTGAATAGTTTTTCACTCAATGTATTTTTGTTTAACTTTTTGTTTTCCAGGAATCTAGCCTTAAGGACTTACGGTATAAGATTTTGCCGATATGGATATCAACGCGGTATACAAAAACCCGAAACGTTATCGACATTTACAAACACATACCGTTTTGATAAACACCAGTTGTTTTATGTGTATGAAAACGCTTACAATGTACTCGTAATGAATACATTTTATTTACAACTTTATTTAACAACTTATAAGTTAAAATTAATTAATTGGGTTTATTTTATGTTTTCTTATCTGGATACTTACTTTAGGCATTTTTTATAATAAATAGTAAATAGAACGTGTTTGGATGTATGGTCGACTGTCAACCGTTGAGAAACAGCGATTACTGAATATGTCCGATGTCGGTGACAGGCGTCCTCGTGGCCACGTTAATAATAATAATTTAAGATGTTTTCACTTTTTTATTAAAAAAAAAAAAATTAAGAAATTTGATTTTCAGCCACCATTTTTTTAATTTAAAAACATTGTGCGTGGCCCGTATGAATATTTTATGCGTTAAACAATATTATTTTATCGGTATATAAATAAAATTAATAACTCGAAAATCAATCTAATTGACAACTCTCGAAACGTGTTTTTAGGAAAACTATGATGGGTTTGGGAAAAGTCAAAAACCATATTAATATTATGATCAAAATTTAAAAAAAATTTAAATTCAACGTTATTTTGGTTGTATAAATAAATAAATAAAAACGTCGACAAAAAAATATTAATAAAATGATAAATTATTTAAAATATGCATCTAACAGTATAAAATGGAAGATATATGCCCTAAAAATAAAAAAAAAACGCAAAATATGCATTTATGTGCACAATAAAATTTCAAAACTAGCTTTGTGGAAGCATGAAACGTATTTGTTTCACATTCTGCTATTTTTGTAACTGTGCAAAAAAATATGCAAATGCTACAAGTCCTTTGCTCTAATAACCACGTACGTGATTCCACACACCGTAATCAGTTCCCGGGATGTGTCGTTATTATTATTCGAAATTAGTATACCTTTTGCTTTCAATGTATTTTAATCCATACGAGATTAAGTGGGGACATTTTATCGAGAAGGAAAGTGGTGACAGGAACAAGACCTATACAATGTATATATGTTGATTTGGAAGGGTTTTTCTGATTTTCGGTATGGCGTTGTGACAGATCGATTTCATGTTTCCACTCACTTTAAATGCAGTCCTGAACTTGTATGACATGAGGTTGTACAGCAGTGGGTTAATAGTGGCTGACAAGTAGTACAGAATACCCGATACGTAATTCAGCACCTGGTAGAAGTTCACATCAATTATAGACACGCTAGAACGGTCTTCATGGTCAGCGTCTCCATAGATGGCCACCAATCTTTGTGCCTGGAAGGGCGCCCAGCAGACGAAAAATGCTACCACCACGACTACTGAAAATCACAACAAGACTTACGTTTAAAAAATGCTATTCTTGTGTAACATGATAATAACTTTGTGTACAAACTAAAATTTTTTTTTCGGGGTAAAAGAGTGCGATTCACTCCCCCCTTCCCTTTCAAATCTCCTGCTGATACACGTTAAACCTGTCGGATTTAATTTATAATGGCTATTTTGTTATTTCCGTAGATTAAGTTGATTAAATAAAAACCGAATTCACCAAATTCAACAAGCGTCCGAAAAAAACAAATTCACTCGCGGACGTCGTATATTGTATTGCGTTTATCCGTATGCAAAAAATGGATGTACGGAATAATAATATTGATAATAATAATAATAATAATGTGGTAGCTCCGAAAGAGTGGTAAAAGAAAAGGTAAATCATTGCGTAGACGATTTTTTTCTCGTTTTTCTCCTCTCAAAAGGTATCGCAGTAGCAGTGTAAGCACATCCATCACCGTTGGTTATATTAAGCTGGGTATACAAGGGCGTATTTGAGTTGAGGCCATAGGGGAGGATCAAAATTAATTTTTCTTCAATACAAACTTAAAAATAATTTACAGTTCATTACCTACTGTTCATGTTCTTGTTATAATGATAACATATTATAATAATAGACTAGTAATTTATATTCTTAATTATTTATACATTACATTTTTTAAATAAATCAATGTATTATATTCAAAAAAATACGATCTATGGCGGGAGGGGGGGAATGTACCCTTGCGGGTACACACCAGTGCATTTAGGTGTAATGTAACTGAAATGCTCAGGTGCGTACGGTGTTACTGTACTCGTATCATTCGCGCGTGTTCGGTTTGCGACGTCGTCGATCCACCCGAGTGTCGGTGTTTTGATGAATATCAAAGGAATGTAACATTACGACCAGTGGTTTAGTGGAGGATATACGGGGGTACACGGCGTGTACCCACCTCTTAATTTTATAATTATACGTCACCCTCAATGAAAATCGTGGTACACGGACCATGAACTAGACGTATTAACATTACCCAGTAAATAATATTTATATAGGGTAATACCTATTAAATTTTGATATCAAACGGGTAAAAGAGTACTAGCGTAATTTGTTTAATTCACTGACAAAAAAAAATATCTATAAGTCTGTGGTTTACTTGTATCACGACTATAGATGGTACTAACTTTAATCGTTGAGAGAGTGTTCAGAGACCGTTTGTACACAGATCTATTTTTAATTCATTTGATAACTTCACAATATTGTGCATGTATTTTTTTACAATGAATCAGGCGTGTATCCATAAACTTGCTTAGTGTAGACGGTATGCCAGTTGCTCGCAGTGAATCGTCCGGTGATATACTCGTATATTTATTTGATATATATTTGTAAAAACTGATGGATAGACCGACGAAAAACTGATACGGAGTAGTTCTCGACCCTAAACGTACACGTTTGTACCATGTAACGTGTAAACGAGCACGAACTCTGTTATACTACGGTGTTACATTACAATCAAATGCTCCGGTATATACCCGGCTTTAGATCGGGCACTGATCGACACCAGATGGTTTTTGTTGACTGTACCTTATATACATTATTAAATTACGTTCGTGTTAATAATATATTTGATACCATTGGAACATGTTCTTTCTGTGTACCTAAAAATCACTCTAATTATCAATTTTTATGTTACTTAATAACGTCGGCCATTTGTTTACAAATAATTATTAAATTATTTTATACGAGATTTAAAAAAAAAATTAAAAAAATAAGTAGGCGAATCAATATTTTAAGAAGATTTATTTTAAAAATATATATTAATTGAACTCGAAACTGATTTCTGAACATACTTGAATTAATTAATAGTTTTCCCTGTTTTTAATTCTTCCCATAAAAATTTAATTAGATTAATTATTCTTTAGTTATTTTTTTCAATATTAGATATTTATTTTATTTTTATTCAACTCATTTTCTATTAAATATCGAGATAATTCTGTGAAACATTTTTAAATCTTCAATAAATCGGCATATTAAATTGAGAAAAAGAGAGTGAAATTAACTATGAAATGATTCTGGACCATTTGTTATGCGCAGTTGATTTGATGGGTTTAACATTCATTTATACGGATGAAATAGGTAACAAGTCTTTATAAATATTATATGATAGAGTTGTGAAAAATGGTAAGTCGAAAATTTAGTTATCTCTTCACAGATAATGTCAAATTTAATTCTGTAAGCTACAGTTTTAAGTTTTCAAAACAATGGACTGCGATAATATACATATGTCTCAATTTATCACTGAACCGTCAGTAATCAGTCGTAATATCACTTCATTTTTAAAGATCAAAACACATTTTTGGCCGCTCTCTCCACATTTATTTCAAAAGTTCTATTTTTGAATAATCACGTAGAATTATATATATTATTATTATGTATTAAACGGAAATATAAATTTTTAAAATAAAATCTTTGACGCTTAAACGAAAACGTGTCGTAATAATATTATATCGCACTTTTTGAAATTAAACGTGGGTAGATATCCACTGCTCGTCAATTCTAACGCTTCATTTATTGGAATTAGATTTTTGTCGGTTGGTAATGAGGGATCTTTAAAATGCGTTTGTACGATTGCTGCACTAAAAAACTGTGCGATTGCTTAATGTTTGTTAACGCGTACAATGCAGGGACGAATAATTGCCTTGAAATTGATTGACGTATTCGTGATGACGAGAAAGAAAAATGAACAAAGAAAATCACGCAAGTTGTACAAATTATAAAAATAAGTATACAGAAATACCGTTGACATTTGAATGAATGTTGCTTTCTGATTTCGTATTCACATTAAAATTGAATTTGGGACGACGTCCGTTGATGTACGGAAATGCGATATCCGATGTCGTTCGGAACGCGATTAAAAAAATCGTGTCATCGTGAAACATAAGATCGTATGCAGCTTTTTACTAGTTGTCAGGTAGGAACTCAAAGAGAATAATAATATTTATAATCACAATGTTCGTAAGAATAATAATTATTGTGATAATATTTTCTTATAATTATTATGACACGAATGCTGAACCGCTGCCCAACGAGGTATCTTTTAAAGTAAATTATAAGTAATAGAGTGAAATATGAATGTTAGACCGGAGCATAAAAATTGATAGAAGTTATAAAGATGACCACAAGCCAGTATAAATCCCATAACATACTAAATATGTACTTTTGACGTTCCGAGTAAACTTTATTTTAATTCAATAGTCTTTGAAATTTTAACCATTCGATCATTAGCATTTAAAACTTTAAAATAGTCGGGATGGTAAATGAATAGACGCTGCAACTGTAGTAATTTTCTTGTCGTCTACATCATTCAAAGTAGAGTAATAATTTAAACGTTAGTTATAGTTTGGGTAATTATACCACCCTATATGGGTTCAGCCTAAAATAAGGGTGAGAAGAACGTTAAAATATCTGAAACGAAAATTTGGGGTACCCAGGTTACTCAGGTATCTGCTCCCCCAAGTCGAGGTTTTGAATTTTTAATAATTTAAACCAATAATCGAATCTAACCGCATAGAAAACGCTTTAGTAAAGAAATCATAGTCAGTTTTAAAATATTCTGCGTACAGTTATAACTTCCTAATCGATCAAGCCTAGAGCAAATATCTTCGATTCGCGGCTTTTAATCTAAAATAATGGGAAATTCTTCTTTGTAAGACCATATATTATGATATATATTCTATAATATAGTATAACATTATTGTTATTTCCAGCAACATTTAGAACTTTGGAAAGGTATATAACGAATTTCTCAATAGTTTTCTTAATAATTGTAAAAACTGATGAAAAGTTATTAATATACAGCAACATTTATGATACATTGCTTCGATAATTTTATGACAGTTATATTTAAAGGTAAGACCAGAATTTTCAAAAATATTGTAGAACATAGTAAACATAGTATTATCACAGAACAATGGTTAACATGTAAAAAATGTGTTATACAACATAACAATTTCAAACCTATAACGATGATGGTTGTTTTCGAGCATGGATTAGAGTAATATTTACATATTCGTAATGCAATGTGAGAAACAAAACGGGAGATGCGAATCCTATAAAAATATTGTCACAATGTAAACACACGTTAGGCACTCATAAAATGGAAACAAATATATATATATATATATATATATATATACACGTGTATAAACATCAAATATTAATATATAGTAAAACTGGGTCTTTGTATTTTGTGACACGCATGTCTGTATAATATTATATTATTTCCATTATTTTCACTATCAATATACTCGTATTATTACGTGCCCCATAATCGAATATTTTTGCATCTTTTCGCAGTAAACGTATTTATTTATTTGTATAGATAATTCAATATATAAACAACAAACTCACATTCGGTTCCCATAGGGTTCCGTTTGAAACGTAAAGGATGGAAATTAAAAAAAGACGGGGATGCCCTGTAGTAGTGATGGGAATTAAATTCGGATTATTCAGAATTTAGTTTTCAGGTTTCAGGCTGAAAAATTCAGATTTCGGAATTGAAATTCTGAATTTTGGGTTTAATATTGTGGAATTCTGTATTCTAATTAAAAAATTAATTTACTACGAAATATGTGTACCTAGTTATTAAACATTATTTATTAGTGATACATAAAATAATACTAATTAAATTTTTCAAAAATGTTAATCATCGGCAAATCCGGATTTCTCATCACTATTCTGCAGAGATACATCGTATATATACTAAAACAATTGTCGCGACGGACCGACAAGGCCTCGTTAGCCGTTGCGTTTGTATTAAAATTTTGATGACAACGTATACCATTAACTGATTGACGCATTTTTCTTTATCAGTGTTATTAAAAATATAATCATTAAGTATTGACTTTGAATTTCGTAAAATTATGTTCCGGACAAAACCGAACATTATCGCTGCAGCAACCACCGGCCATGTCGTAAAACCGTAAAAGTTGATAATATTTTTTCAGGTCATTTTCG